AACTTTTAGGAACAAATTAAGTTAGAAACCCAAGGTTTGACTGTATATACAAGGTGTCTCCTAACAAGCAATCCAGGCTAATAGCTTGGAAAGAACTGTCAGTTTTATGTAAATGATGCCTGCTTTCACACATTAACAAGTATGGACTAGTCATTGGTACTAGTACATTACTAAATTCCCTCTACCTCCCAAAAAAATAAGGGCTAAAATTATCTCAGTTTCTATTGCAGATAGAACTACAGTTCCAATTGTAAAGTTGTAGAGCAGATTGAAATTAGTATAGTCCATATTTTGTTCAATTAAAAAAAAAAAGGCTAACAAAGGTTCACTTATACTCCTGAACATTTGAATGGCTGTATAAATTCAGCCTGTTCCTTGAAAAGTGAATTGAGGGCCTGTCAAACACTAACTTATGAACTGAATTGTAAGTTTCCCATGTTTGATATTCGACAATATGCATAATTTTATTTCAAAACATGGTTTTGTGAACCTTTAAATTGAAAGTACTGTCTGACTCTAGACAAATTGTAGAAATATAATTTTAGTTAAACTCCTTACCTGTCACTCTAAACAATATAATGCAAGTATCTTCAACATGTTTCCCATGCTTTTCAATCCAGGGTTTATTTTTAACATCTTTATTCCCCAGGATTTAAAGACAGAGATATAATTATTTGAATCCTGGGGTTTAATTGAGGAAATATAAAACAAGATACTGACAAAAAACTAAGTATTTATTATAGAAATTAAAGTGTAAAAGTAACACGTCTCTGTATATTTAATTCTTTTATGCCATATCTTAAAATAAATATGAGAAAATAAAAATTTTATTTAACAATGTAGAAGAGTTAATTTACATTGAATTGTTTTTGGTAAACAGGAAATAATGTCACAATTTTTAATCTCTTGTTTCATAAGCTTACATGTGAGGACTAATAAATGCTAGTAATGTGGTAAAATAATAATGTTACACATAAAAAAACAAAACTAAACTAAACTTCCAAAGTTTTGAACCTACATCGTTTAGCTCCAGTGCCTTGGGTCTTATCCACTGAACTATCACCACTCACAGATGTGAAACTTTCAGACTTAGAAGATAAACATTAAATTTTCAGTTGCCCATTTTTGGGAAATACTTGAGAAGTGGGTTCTATTATTTGGACAAGGAGCTGTGTGTATTTAATGTTATGTACTCACCAGATTTCATTTAAATTGGAGACCCAAATGTCTGATCCTCTTCTTGTAAGTGACAGCTTAACATGTTACTTTTACTTTCCAGACATCAAACTGATAAGACCACCAGCTCCTGCATTAATTAGTAATAAAACAGCTGGCAATAAATAATTTGAAGTGGCCAAAAAAAAAAAATTAAAAACTGGCAAATGATATTTTAAAATTTTCGAGAGTGACCCCTGCATATTATAAATATATTAATATAAAAATTGCTTCATATAAGAACATATTCACATTACATATAAAACACATGACATATAAATATTCTCTGCCGAATCATTTTATAATTTTTGTACTACACATTTTTTTATATAATAATAATATCAAACAGAGCAGGTATTTATTTTGAATATACTATAAAATTAAAATTTTATTACTGAAAAATGATCTTATCATTCTTACAACATATATTTGTATTTAATTAAAACTTGTTCTGTAAATGTTCGTCCAATGGAGAATTATTTTTAATAAAATTGAAGACAAAACTGACCAAAAAGGTCACCATTTATTATTTTTTGTGTTCCAAGACTAACACATTCTCAGCGACTGACCTTTCTTTGTAGGCTGCTTGTTGCCGGAAAATTACACAGAGTCCTTTTAAAAACACAAAACACATCCAATTAAAATTATAAACATTTTTGAAAAAGGAACTGGTGACATACAGTTGTCCTGTTTACATCCATCTATACCTTCTTTAGGGGTTTCTGACTGCTTTTTATCTACTAGAAATTGGTGCTGGAAAGATCAGTCTTCAATTTTATTAAAACTTGTTATTAATAGATTATCAAAAGTTTTTAGTAGTCTTATTAAAAATGATATTTTATATTTATTTACTATTGAACACAAGACTGTGCTATTATTAAAACACTTGGCGTTTTCCTCTTTATTCAGTTGATACGGGCACTTTTACATGTTTCGGGCGTATAGCCCCTCATCAGTCAACTGATAAGAAGAAACATATACAATAGATTATTACATTTTGTAAAAATTATATAACAATTCTAAAACATGTAACATTTAAGACATACCATTAAATATGCAATGACACTCGTACAGCACAAGTTATTATTCACATTACTGTGAGGATAAGTTGATAACTTTGACATTATAAACCTACATATATTCAATTAAGAAATAAAAAATAAAACTTCATATAAATATATACGCTTAAAATACTATTGTATTTTAATGTGTTCTGTTTATTTAGATACCTTTGGCTATTACAAATATTACGTAAAATCCGACCATCATGAATGTTAAAAATGCAAATTAGCAGTAAGACTCAATTGTGTAATGACCAGGAAACAAAATATGTTATAATAAGCTAATCGAGGTTTATCTGATTCTGATTCTGTTATGTGCAAATGAAAGGTTGTGAGAAACGAACCAAATATATTCATTAATCATTCGAAAGGATTCTGCCTATATATTTATCAACTTTAGTAAGAAGAGAGAGGATGTGTTATGCCTACTTAATAGTAAGAAACAATAGTAAACAAAAATTAGTATAGTTCTGTGCGTTATCAGTATAAGTGTATATATTTATATGAAGTTTTATTTTTTATTAAAACATCATAGAATCAACTTCATTTTTGTTTACTATTGTTTCTTACTATTAAGTAGGCATAACACATCCTCTCTCTTCTTACTAAAGTTGATAAATATATAGGCAGAATCCTTTCGAANTTAATGTTAAAATACAATAATTTATAATTTATCAAGAAGATTATTTAATTATTAACAAGTTCAAATTTTATATTACAGTATTTTTAACTTCTTTATATTTATTACAAGCATAATTGTTTATATTCTCATGGTATATACCTTTTATTTTTTTCAATCAATATTGATAGAGGCTAGTAAAAAATAAATTCTGAAAATATGAAGAATTTATTACTTCATCTATCAGTTAAAATTGGTAAAATTAAAAGTACATACTAAAATAGTATAAACAATTCTACTTATTCTATAATTTTTAAACATTGTTGGGATCAAGAATTAATAATACTGCGATTAAAGTTCTCTTAAATAAATTGAGAGTACTCAAATTTTAACAAATATCATACTTTAAAACAGATAAGACATTACTTAACTAAATGTTCACAAATAACATTTTTAAAATGCATAACATCACATTGCAATTTCTGCATAAATAATTTATAAGAAAAAATTTTCATGCATGATTTTAGAAATTATATTTGAAAATATAATTTTACTTAAGGGTAGAAAAGTATACAATATTTTTAAAACTAAAACTAATATGATTAAGAGAATAACATTATTTTCAATAAATAACACTTATTTATGTTCTAATGATTTAAACAGACACATAAAAAAAATAGTTGATAGTCATTGAACGGGACAAATTTCACAATCATAATTTTTACTCTTGATCTATATATGCTTACAAATACTTATTAAAATTTACAAAGAAAAATGATTTCATATTGTATAATAAGATAAACATTTAAAATTTTGACCCTAAGTACATTAACAGGAATGATGATTTTCCTGTTTCGGGGGCCTCAGAAAATAAGGAATCAAATAACGAGTCATATTAATCCAGTTTAAATTTAGTCAGCATTATCTTTACTAAATTTTATTATTATTTAATTTATAACCATACAAGATTTCATTACTTTTACACATACCATATATTACACTCAATAAAAAACAGAAAATAATGAAAATTTATTAATAGATAAATTTAAAGGAATAAATTCTTCATTTTAATCAATTTTTTAAATTAATTTTTTTCTNTTTTTAAGAGCACGCACAGAACTAAGTCTCTTTTTTTATAACACAACATAGAAGTAGGCCCTCTAATCCTTATATTGTGGTCTTTCTGTAAGCAAAATCCAAATGCGAGTAATTACATTGGGAATGATGGTGATAAATCACTTTCATAACAGCCGAGAAACTTTTTGATGTTGCATGCAGTTTATCACCGTTAGTTGTACAGTACCAGAGTCGAACAAAAAATAACATGAAACGTGCCCGTCGCTTTATTTAGATCCTCAAATCTATTCGTAAGATGTGATATTACTTACATTGTCCAAAGTAGCGTAAAAAATGCCTAATTTAAACGGTAAAAGTTAAGCTTTGGTCTTCAGGCGATTCTTCATAAACAGCGACATCGACTTTCCACGTGTTTCTCTGGAATGTTGTAAGAGTTCCCTAAATTTTGGTTATTTTCAAGGGTTACTTCTTGAATGTCGAATTTTTCTCTTGGTTGTGAGAAATTTTCTTTACACTTTTTCAGGAAAGCAACAGCTTTGCTTAATTTCTGCCGAAGCGACTGAAGCATCCTCGAAACACAGTTAATGGCTTTCAGAATATGCGATAGCAGTTTTCGAGTTATTTGAATCATCGCTGGTCAGCCGAATGGCCGAGCCAGTTAAGGTATCAGTCTTAACTGGTTCGGCTCTTACAGCTCTGGGGAGCACTCCAGTGGTCGAATGGATCTTTTTCCGCTTTAGTTTTCTGCTAGTTATAGCAGGTCCGGTGTGCCCCTCTTTTTCCATGCTAGTCTATCCTGCATTCCAGTCTGTAGCTCCTTATAATTACCTTTTTTTAAGTCATCCACCATTTTAATTATTCTTTTCTCTCGTTTCTTTTTGGACTAGCACCGAATACTAATAGTTGATCATGGGTTTACGCCTCGCCAACGTGCTAACCACATGGAGTTTTCTGGGTTTAGGTGGAGATATTATTACTAGAAATTGAATAATTTTAAAATAAATTTAAACACAAGTTTTTAAACTTACCATTAAAATGAGATGTTAAAGAAAAAAGAAAATGCATCATTTGCTTTGCTTAAAAGATTCTTTTGAAAAATAAGATGAAGAAGAATAGGAAAAGCTCAATATTCAAAAAGCAGGGAATTTTCCTTAGATGCCAAGGTCACACGATCAATTCTTTTTCGGCGGTATTAGCCACGATACCGTTATGTATTATATCCTTTACCGCTAAATATTTTATATCGGTTGTAAAATTATATTTAGGATAAGAATTGCAAGCGTCAATCGTTTCAACATAACCAAATACTTAATCTGTCATCTGATTAGCTCGGTCTTGTCCGCCATACGTTTCGTCATTCGTCCGCTACTAATCTGCTGGCGCTAGTGTAGATAATTAAAAATATTGTATTACTGTATTAATATATTCATTCCCTTAAAATTAAAAAAAATATATATATTGTTTGCATTACAATATATCTAGGAAGTTTAACAATAATGAAATCAATAGCAATGGGTTTACATTTATGTTAATAATTTTGAAGCTATCAATGAATAATAAGGAAGAATGTTTCAATTACAATATATAAATTTATAATAGGTTAAAATATCCTAAAATCAGTATCTAAACAATATTCCAAAAAATTTATTGAAAACAGTTTGGAAATATGTTCTAAACTTCTGTAAAAATGTATCCTGTTTTCAAGTTAGACTTCTGAAGATAAACAGTGTAAATTTGAAAGTGCTTAAGTACATCTGATTTATATATACATATACATATGTTTTAGTTTGAAGAAAACATGGGTTGAATTAAAACATTATGTCATTCTGAAGTTAGTAGCTAGAAATTCTGAAAAACAGTTATGGTATATCAAACTTTCAGTTCCTAAATGGAAAGTTTTCTTTTTCTTACTTATTGGTGAAAAAATAGGTCAGTCCAGAAACCAGTCCTGAAAATAAATCTATTTATTTTCAGGTCTGATTAAAGAAAGTCATGTCATCGTGCAGTTTTTTAGCTATTGCGTTTAAAGATGTTTATAATAAATATAAGAGANGATAAATAATTGCAAAGAAATAAATATGTAATTCACAGTATTATTAACAAATTAAATTTATTTATATAATAATCATAAAGTATTACAGTAGAGCCTCGAAAACTCGGCACTCCGGATAACTTGGCCACACCCTGGCAGGGCAAAAATATCCTTAGTTAATTAATTTTCATTATAAACAGCTTTATGCCTCAAAGTATTTTTCTGAGGTCTGTCTTATCAGGTAAATGACTGTACACAGTGTATTCATTAATTTTCATTTTCATGTAGTAAAGACTCTATGCCTTCATAAAGGACATATTTTTCCTTTGTTTAAGGGTATTTGGGCAGTTTATTCTCTGTGTATTCTCAAGCAAACAATACATACAAGTACAGTACAATATTTTCTGAGAAAACACGCATACCTATCCTTTTTTAACCCTATTCCCAATAACCCGGCATTTTCACAAACTTGGCCACCCTTCGGTCCACATTAGGCAGAGTTTTTGAGGCTCTACTGTACTATATTATAATTATTAATATTTGGAAAAGTTAATTTTGTGTGTAGCAACTGTTATTTAATTTTTCAAATATCAATACAGTGGGTGATCAGTTAACGAACATAATTCAATCCAAGACTTTCTTTGCTACCTGATTTGTTCATTAACTGATTATCGATTTACCATAGATTTTTATGAGAATTAGATTAATTCGTTCTGGAGACCCCAAAAAATAAATAAATAAATTATATACTTTCTATGTTTATTTATATGTAATAATAAAAATAAAAATGCAAGACTGTGTATATATGTATCAGTCATGTTGTTTTTCTGTTTGTGGGACATTAAAGAATATTTCCAATGTCGATTGCTTTTCTCTCTTCTTCAAAATTTTTCTAAAGTACTTAATAGCATGTTGTATAGATCCCCAAGCATATTAACCTCAACCTGGTTTGGATGCCATTCTAAGACCATTGTTCTGACATCCTCCCACTTTTCAAAAGATTTTTAATAGCAGATGTCAGCATTGATCCTCTTTTTCAGAAGAAAACGCATCTCACTGAGTTTCTTGATGTTCTTCATTCAAGAGTTCTTGGAGTTCTTCTGTCGCCATATCAGTTTCCATTATGAGCTCTTCAATGTCATCTTCATTCACCTCCAATTGATCTCTAGCAATTGTCACAATTTCATCCATAATTTCAGAGACATCATCTCCATCTCCCTGAATGCAGGAGGGACACAGCTTCGCCAACCAGAATTCAACTGTCATTGAATGACTTCTGACCATGCCTTTTGAATGAGCCATATAGCTTCAAGAATATCAAATTTTTCTTTCCAAAACGTTTTTAATATCATCGTTGACGAGGAGAACTGGCATGCTTCAAAACACCAACAAAACAGTGCTTGAATGTACAATTTCTTGAAACCTGCAATAACCTCTTGATCCATTGATTTAATCAACAAAGTGGTATTCGGAGGCAGAAACTGAACTGTCAGCCAGGGAAAGTCTTCCAACAAATTATCTTCAAGATCTTTTGGGTGTCCTGGTGCATTGTCTAATAGCAACAGTACTTTCAATGGCAATTCATTGGTTTGAAGGTAATCTTTGATGCTTGGAGCACAGACTTCAAACAGCCATTCTTTGAAAAGAGCCTGCATAACCCATGCCCTTTTATTCAATCTCTGCATCACTGGCAATCTTTCTTTAATTATGGAATTTTTTTTAATGCTCTAGAATGCTCAGAGTGATAGACAAGAAGCAGGATAAGCTTCATATCACCACTAGCATTAGCTCCCAAAAGTAACATCAATCGAACTTTCATGGGTTTATGCCCAGGAATATTTTTTTGTCTTTTGTGATGTAGGTACTGTACAGTTTGGCATGCACTTCCAAAATAAACTAGTTTTGTCACAACTGAAAATTTGTGTTGGACTATATCCTTCTTTTTTAATGAATTCTTCAAATTTCAGACAGAATTTCTCAACTTCTTTATCTGCACTAGCAGACTCACTGTGAATTACCACATGTTTAATGCCAGATCTCCTAAACTTGCAAACCATCCAGTGATAGCTTCGAATTCTATCTCCTCGTGACGAATGTGGAGTTTGATTTTTCAGTTCTTCATAAATTTCTCTAGCTTTCTCTTGAATGATAATCATACTAGTTACATCAAATGCTCACATTTTTTTAATCTACTTGTACTTTATCTATTATTGAAATTAATAATTATGTAATCATCATCATTGATCTTTTCATATCAGAAGATTTGTGATCTTATAAAAACAAACTGATAAAAAAAATAAGCAATTATTTATTGTGACATTGTCACAATGCCGGCCTGCAATTTTTAATCATATTTGTAATTTTTTAAATTTAAAATATATGCTCCCCACCTCAAATTTGTAGTGGCTTGCCCCTGTACAACATACTTTTCCTTTAACAATAGTGTTGTGCCAGTCATCTATCTAACACCTTCCAGGGAAAAATTTTTTATTGAAATAACATGACTCCTAATTTTCATCAAAAGTTTGTATATAGTTAATCGAGGCCTCCTGCCCTAAGATTTCCATATCTGGTCTTGTCTTTCATCTATCTAACTCCATTCTTAAAATTAATTGATGGATGGACAGATGACAGTGAAAATTTACAGCTCTACAATCTTTTCAAATTGCAGATCCAACAGACAGTAATTGAATTCTTGTTTATTCATCAGTTGAGAAAAGTGGAAAGATTGTGCAAAAACTTACCAATCTTTTTCCACTTTTTGTGGATTTTTTAGTTAAGATGATTGCATTGTATACTTAAAATTCTAGAAATCTTCATTCAATTATTAACAGAATTTATGTTCAAACTTCTACTATATTACAGCTTCTTAACCAAAAATTTGCATTCACATATGGCTCATTGACAAACAAATTTTAATTCTTTGATCTTTTCATATTTTTTTAATATCAGTAGATAAAATACTGAAAGTCAATCCAAATGTGTCCTTTTTATTTCCTTTGATGGAAAACATTTCTCATTGATTTCTGATTTCTCCCAAATGCATAAAACATAATGTAGTAATTTGATGTTTTTAGAATAATAGGCATAATCTAGAAAGTTTTTAAATGTTTAATTACACTTATTCAAATGTAATTAAGTATGTTTATAAAGAAAATTTTAGTTATTTTAGATATTTATAGCATGTAGATGAACCTATAATATTAACATTAATTTAACTTGTTTAATAAATATAATTAAATTAGTGTTTTCTGTTTATGTAATATTAGAAAATAGAAAATTAGTTATACTTTTAATGTTATCTTTCTTATTTTGTTTCTTTCAAAATTCTTTTTTAAGACAAATATTTATTCAATGTTTGTACTTTATTTTTATTTAAAACTTTTCAAAAGATAGAACTGTTTTTTCTGTTTTGTGCATTCTTTCTTGACGAGGACCTCTGAAAGACAGCCAAAAATATTTGAACATTAAAGTTTTATTCATTATATGTTGGAATTCACATTTAGGTGTCAAGTTGTTTGTTACTTTATTTTTATTAATAATTTCAAAAATTATAAAGAAAAAAAGTAAATTTGAATGACAATTTAAAAATTTTTGTTCTTTAAAAATACATTTTTTTTATTGCAAACGTAGTAGTTATACATTATATAATCACTGCATTAGAGGGACCAGCATTTTTTCAAAACTGGCAAAGAAATGTCGTATAATCACCACAAGTGTGACATGTTGACCAGTCATTTGCATAGTAGAAAGGCAGCAGTTACTAGTGATGGGCAAATGGGGTGACTTGAGCAGGGACAGATCATTGTGGCATGGAGGGAGGGAGGGTACTAATCTCCAGTATATTGTAAAATTTAAAATAAAAATTTTAGAAAAAAAATATACCAGTTATCTTAAACTGATGTATACAACTTGCCCCAGGAAATTAAACCTGTGAATAATAAGCTGAAACAATCCTATTAATTACATTTTACAGATTGCTCGAGATTGCTGCAAAAAATTTTCCATGTATACAACCACCTGTGTATCTTATTCAGTGGCTAAGCGGATTTAATCCCTAAACGGTGGTAGTTAGCTCAGGTTCATGCTTGGGCCAATGGGCTGGCTGATGTGTTTTCTGGGTTTTCTTTGTGTCAATAATGCCTAAACAAGGGCCACTTTCCATCTGGAAGGCACATTCCCTCAATTGCAGGTTGTGTTGCATGCTGATATCTAAAACCAATCAATCGATTCACTAGCACATTGAAAAAATTATTTACTTTTTGAGTAGTTCATATGCTAGTCATTTTCAAATCTTTTTTGCATAATTTTGATTCATATAGCATACAA